AACAATTTTGAAACACTTTTTCTACATTTTGTACATTTTATACTTTTCGTATATTATGTACATTTTTATGTACATGTTACAGTAATAATATTTAAATAACTATTTAGAATTAGATTTATTATGTTATATACACAATTTTTACTATACACACATATGTCTAGATGTGTACATACAAAAATGTACCACGCAATATATTAATAAAAACGACAGTGGTGTAATTTATCATAGCTGTCATTGTTTGTTATAATTAATTAAAGGTACTGCTTTGCAATCAGCCCATTCAACAAAGGAGTTTCCTAATTGAATAGCACAACGTATCATACTAAGGCAATCTCCTTCTGCATTATGTAGATTTTCTGGGTCAGTACCAAAAATATGCTTGCAAACACTAGATAATTTAAAGTTAGTTGGCTTACTATTCGTATAATCTAATTTTCTTCGTACAGTAATTCCTTTCTTGTTCTGAAAATTTTTATCAGAATGTTGTAATTTTATAATTTGATTTTCTGGCGTTTTTTCATTAATTTGTTGTATTTTTTTATACCAATTACTTGGTGGAGTACTATTCATATTATCAAAAGATGTAATTTTTTCCTTTTCAAAAATACTAGTGTTACTTTTTTTATAATTCTCAAAATGTGCAATCATAACAGAATCTAATGCTTCAGATAAAATTTCATCACAACCATCATTTAATAAAATACTAACTTCAGCATTAAAAGAATTAGAAGTAGTAATTTGTGCAGCATTCACTTCTTTCGTTGATTTTTGTTTAGTTGAGAAAAATTCTTTGATTAGATGAAGCATGTCAATGCTTAAGATATCTTCACAAAAATTCTATAAAAGAGGAATTAAATTATTTGTAAATTTGTATACTGTAACAAAAAATTGTAAATATTTTACATTTGTAAAGCTACAATATGATACAAAACTGCAAATACCTTGTTAATAATTTTAAGCTCTGATAAAAATATTGGATAATCAAACTTATTTCCATTATAAGCTACAAAGCAAGTTGGTGCTATTTGTCGGTTTATAAAATTTATTATTAAGTTATATACTTCACAGTTAAAATATTGAACTTCTTCTAAATTTTTATTGGACAAACCTGTAATGACATAAATTTAATCATGTAAGAATTAAATAAATTTAAATTGAATCCATAGTGACAAAAGTGACATAGTGATGATTAAGAAAAATTATTTATTGAAGATAATTAAATATAAGGTACCTGTTAATGTTTCAATCCCTTCAGAAATACGTATATTTGGATTTATTGGAAGAACAAGTTTATGTAAAACTCTTGGTAAAACATCTGTAGTATCACATATAGCACTTCTTGATACTGCAATTAATGACATTTCTGTAACTTTTGGCATAACATTTTTTCCAATTAATCCAGTTGTTTCCAGATCAAAAAATATAAATGTTCGTATCATTTTTAAAATCTTAAGTGTTAAACCAATGTGAAGAATTTAATTTCTATTCTGAAAATAAAATTTAGGTTATTAAATAAAAATTTTGCTAAATGGTATAATACCGATAATATATTTAGTCCTTAAATTTTTTGATGTATTAAGTATGGTTATGATGTGCTAGATTAGTATTTGCGTTAAGTATTGAATTTGTGTTGCATTTGATGATTATTTAGAATTACTAAATAAGTGTATTTTTCAACATTATTTCTCATTAAATATGTTATTCTTTCAATCATGATTTTTGTATTTCTCCTTCGTATATTTAGTATTAAATATTACTTAGGAAAAAATGGTAGCCTGAAGTTCAATTTATTTATCCTGTTTTGTTTTGTTTTTACAATAGGACAGTAAATAATTCCATATGACCTTTTTTATTGTGTAATATATTTTTATAAATTATTTTATTAACGTTTAAAATTTGTCTTTTTTATTTACAGTTATTTGTGTTCAATTTAAAAAGTTCAATAATTCATTAATCAAAAAACATATATGTATTAGTTGATGAATTTAACTATGGTTTTATAAAAGATTAAAAATGATTAGTTTTAATCAATACTGCAGAAAATAATTAAAAGACGTGTGTACAAAATACGACGAGTGCTCTCTTGTGGTGATAGCATTGAACTAATTTTAGTACATATTGTCAGCAAATGAGTTTTTGGTTGAGTGTTATTAATATAAAATCTGTAGTCTATTTATAATGAAAACTGCATAACTGTTTAAATATATTTGTTTATATACATAATTGGTTGATTCTACTGATACGTATTGTGAGACGTTCGCGATGTCTACGGATTTTATGAATATTGATGGCAATATAAAAAGGGTACAGAAGGAAACCCTGACACCATACAAAATAGCAACTGTTATTTTGATTAAAGAATATTGTAATGAAACAACAAAAGGTAATTTAAGATTTGTGTAACTACTATAGTATAAATTCATTATAAATACTGCAGTATTATAATATCACTGCATAAAATATGTAACAAGTTGTGTAAGTAATGTCTTTGTTTATTACAGCAATTGTTGAAAGACGTGATTTTTGTTTAGCTGCATTAAAATTGATTCAAGTAAGCATATTAATTAATTGGTTGATTAGTTTATTTAAATGCAACATTTATGATATATTTAACAAGATAATATATTTCACTATTATGAAATATCAAATATTAATATTTAATCTTTTTATTATGTTTTTTCTTTATTAGTCACCTGACATGGAATTCAATGAACTCTTGAATATACTATATTCCCCTAAATATATTTTACATCGCTTTGCTCATCAATTAGAAGTACAGTTGAATGTATTAAGAGGAAAAGGAGTTGAAGGATTATTAGATTTATTTGATAGTGTTGGACGTCTTATGAAACCAATAACTTTAGATCACTCTCTTTCCTTACCTGCATTAAATAAGAATTCTGTTCTTGGATTATACATAAGAAGAGTTATAATTTTTTTTGAAAAACTGCCTTTTGATCAAGTTGTAGCACTTTATGAAGCTTTGAAAAGATATCTTGATAGAAGAACTAATGCTTCTGAAGGTTCTGACATTTCTACAGGTTCTAAAACAGAGGATTCATATTCAAATGAGTATGTATTCATTGTATATGTAAATTATAATTTTCTTATTTGTATATTTTATTATAATTTTTTTTACATTTTAGTACAACTAAAGCAACATGGGGTGGAAGACAAGCTGAATTACTTGTTGCACAGCAAGCACATGCACTACAAACAGATGAACATAAAGCAATGTCCCCTGCAGAGCTGCAAGTTCTTGTACGAGAACTTTTAAGTTGTAGTCCTTATTACGCTGAAGCTGTGAGTACTGTGTGGTAAGAGCATTTCCTCTGTTCGTATTTTAAAAACAAGATTTAATATTTTTCTATATTTCCTAATTTTTTTGTATATTTTAATGTGTTTCAGCATTATTTAAGTTATTTAAACTGCCTAAGAGTCAATGAATACTGTGGAGCTATAGACAGTCTTTATCACTGCTTTGATAGGTTGGCACCTTTGGAAAACCGTTCTGCACCTGAAGATAGATCTCGAATTTTCAGATATGCAGCTTTAAATTTAGCAGTTTTACATGCTCAATTTAATCATAAGTACTGTTTTACATAAACGTTTAAGTTAATGAGTGTATCATTTACTAGATAAAGCTTATGTTATCAGTTTTTTTTTTTTTTTTTTAAAGACAAGTAGCACAAGCTGCTTTAAAAGAAGCGATTATGATGGCTCAAGAAGCTGGAGACAATGTGTGCTTACAATTAGCACATGCTTGGATGTATCATTTAACTACTAAACAAAAGTAGGTGCAAATTCTTTTACAAACATTGATAGATATAACCATGATACATACATATATATATATATATTTTAGGGGTCCTCTTATAGAAAGATCTGTTGGCAAAGCAAGTATGTTAGGAATAACTCATACAACTGGTTTAGGTCTTATTGCATATGCTCATAATTCTGCTTTAGAAGCTAAAAGTCCATCGCAAGTATTCGAGGTATGAATCTGTATTGCAATTGTATTTATTACAAGTTCAGATGTTTCTTGTCTATTCAGGGTTAATAGCTTTAACATTCAATTGTAGACTCTGATGAAATCTGATGTTTTAAATTGTCAACATTCCATGATAGACCTAATGTCAATGACGTATGCGGAAAAGTCTGCATTATGGGCGTATTATGGCAAAACTGAAATGTCTTCAGTTTGTGCACAATTGTTGCTTTTGCACAATACAGGGGATAAAAAACAGCATATGTTCAATGGACCATCTACTTGTCAAGCTGTCGTTAATATTGCAAATATTTTAGTAGAATTTGGAGAATATTCTTTAGTTGATGTTGTACTTGGTCATGCTAAGGAAAGATTTCCTAATGAACCCTGCAATAAGGTTCTGTTCACTAATTATTATTTTTAACCAAATTATATCATGTAATTAAATTTTAAACGTATGTTTGACTGTGTGTTTTTTATGATATTTGTTTCATAGATATGGATGTTAAGTGAGCAACTTTATATGTTCACACAATTAATGAGACAAGAAAAATGGGGTGAAGCGGAAGCAATAGCACTGAATATTTCAAGCTTAGACTCTTTAGAATGTAAATTTAGGTATAATAACACTTTTAAGTTCAACAATATTTAATATATTCAGATAATTTATATATTATATGTAGAAATTTGTACTTTCTAGGTTAGCAGAAGTTTGTTTAGAAAAAGGAGATTATCCAAAAGGTTTAGAATGTATTAATAATATTGAGAAAGATAAACAAATAACACCTCAAAATAAAATACGAGCTATGATTCTTTCGAGCCAATTAATGTGTGCATCAGTTTCATCAGAGAGTGGAATTGCAGGAGTTAATTCGTTGGTACTTCTTAATACAGCTCTAGAACTGGCTGTGAAAAATCATTTATCTTATTATGAAGCATCAATTAAAATGCATCTTGGAAACATTCAGGTGACTTAATTAGTTAATAAATTTTTGTCCATTAATTTAGATACATTCGAGATATTAATTAGAAATATTAGAAATTTTATATTGATAATTTCTTTATTGTTATTTCAGCTAATAATGGGTATGCCAACTTTAGCATTACACTTAGTAGAAGAAGTAATTACCCAAATTTTAGCACATGGAGGACACTACGATCAGGGTAGAGCGTTCGTTTTGTATGCGAAATGTTTGGCTGCCACTGCCCCAACATGTGACAAAGCACGAAAGGAAGTAATTTTAAAAGCTATTAAAGCGCTTTCTAAAGCGAGAAATTATTTTATGAAAGTTGAAGCGTATGGAAGACTTAGGGCTGCATTGTGTTTGGAATCTTTATTATGTCACGAGATTGATCTCAAAACTGAACGAAATCAATGTGCTTTCGAATTTCGTCAACTGGACCAACAGCTTCTCACGAAATTAGATAATTTGTCTTTATATTAAAACCGGAAAGGTAAAACATATAAGAACAAATATATAGAATTCAAGTACTGATATAATATATAGGAGTCAAGAGACAAAATATTCAAACATACAGCATTGTCTTAAAAATTTTATGCATTTTTAATTTTAAACTACTGACATTGCGAAGTAAACGTATGATCACGAATATTACGGTGAACTATATGTACATCTTGGTTATATATATATTTTTTTTGAATAAATATCTGTAAAATTAATACAAAATTTACGTATAGTGTTTTCATAGCGATGACTCGCTAATTTCACTGAAATTGGAGACTAGGAATAGTGAAGAGTCGAACGATGATAAGTGTATAATAGAAACATTTATTCATAGAATCCGCCGTGAAGGTACAACGGAATTTTTGATATTCTAAAGTTCCTTACCTACTTCTTGTACAAGAGTTAGGTACAATTCATGCGAGTTATCTTCATTTTTCGCCTCTTATCTGATTACAATACTTTTTCATTCACTCTGAAGAGTCAACTCGCACGAATCACGTAGTAAGTGCACACGAGACACAGATAGGTGAACGGTCACACACGAAAATCGCGAGGGTGATATTTTGTCACAAAAAAAAACTCCTTTCAGAGAGCTTCAACCTCAGCAATTTTCAGTGAGTCGTCGAAAATTTTTATGACGATTCTTTTGTCGAGGAAAATTTGTATGCGTATAAGTGATAGATTACACCCGGTATAACACGTTGAGAAACACGCACACACGTTTAAATTCTATCGGTGACGTTTTCTGTGAGCAACTTTTACCTTGTTTTCACTGAGTTTTTATTTCTTGAAAAGCGTTTTTTCTCTTGTGACATAGTATTTCCTTCTCTATAATGCTAACAGCAGGATTGCGAATACGCTTCTTTTTACATTTTTTTCCTTTTTGAATCGGATATGTTTTCCTCCTGGAACTTGTTTTCCTTTAAATGTTTTAACAACGTTTTCCAAATAAACCCCGTGGCTTGTTTAAAAAACGGGTGCCCACTTTGGTTCGTCGAATTTTCAACGCTAAAGTGCACGTATTTTCGGTGCAACGAAGAGGGAAAGGGAAGACGTAGACGAAGATACACAGCCGGGTTCACATACAGTACTTTGTTTTTTACAATACAAGAGTGACACAGTTTAGAAAAGATCTCTATATTGTCACAATGTGTTCTCTTTATTTGTGCATGATCGATCGTTTCGCTTAACTAATTTCTTTTTACAAGAATTTCGTAGTTTGTGTTGCTTCTAGTAGGAGAAAAACATATTTTCAGACTTACGACCTCGTTACCGATTGTTGCCGATCGATTACGAGACCAAATGCATCTTCTTTAAATTATACAACGGTGCTTCCGAACATATTCGAATTGAGTTCGCGTATATGTACAAAAAAGCAAATCGAAGGGTTCCTCTTGACTCTTTATAGAAGCTATTTTCGCAAGAAAAACAACGTGGCATGTTAAACTATTCGCACGGCAATGAAAATGTTAATATTGCTTCAGTTATACGGATAATTCTTGAAGTTGACAGAAAAATATAAACTGGAGCAGAATCTATTTGAACTATTCAAAGTAACAATTCCGTTCATAATTTATTTTCTTCGGAAGGATATTTCGGCGTGTCAGTTTTGTAACATACTCACGTAGTAAACAATATCAAAATACTATTTTAATGTTCTTCTTTCTGTGTAAATGATCGTTGATAAATACATGTAATACTCGTACAACTTAATTTTAAGGTGTTCCTTTATTTCTTTCTAAACAATTACGTTTAAATTTCAACAAAAGAAAGCGAAGATCTCTTTGTTTTCCCCAGTCCTTCGAACAATTACATACACGAACAATTAAAAAAAGAAAACGACTGTCTGTGTCCTGTGTTTTGTTGAACAACCTAATCTAAACCTGTCGATCAAATTAGACACTCGAAGCCGTGCATTTCGTTCGAGGTAGGTTCTCTTCTTCCTTTTTTTTTTTCTTTTATTCTTGTTCAACGTTATTCTGATTGAGCATCTAGAAGGGACAGACTTTGTAGACGGGCAAGAATGAAGCAACGGGAAGCCTTCTTTCTCAATCGCTCGCTTTTTTCCTGACTTCGACGTGATCCTGGCCGTTTTGTTAAGCATAGGACGGCAGGGAGGAGCTCGTGGAAAAGTAATTTACACGCCATCGAGAAACAGAGAACATCGATATAACAATCAAACTTCCATGACTCTCTGTACGGAGTTGATATCGAGTGCACAGTTGCCGGTCGTGTCAGGGGAATTCTGCAGATATTCTTCGGATGGTGTCGCTCCTGCGGTTCTCATGTCGTCCCTTACTCGTTCCACCTGAAACAAATACCTGTTGTTTTATTCATGTTTTAAACGTACAATCAATTTTGCAAGGGAATAACTTTTTTCTCTTTTTCTCCAAAGTATCATAATAGTAAAATGAATATCGACAATTAAAAGATTTCGACATCATAGCTAACTGGACGTTGATTTTGTATTAAAAAAAAACGAAGTAAAAATAATAATAAAGCCTAATAAGCACAATACAATATGCTTAGAATAATGAAAATTTTCTTCTGGCAGTCGACGTGCTAAACGAAACAATTACAAGTTTATGAAGCCGTGTTACAATATGGAAACCATTTAAAAGGATATCGTGGAATAAAGAAGGACGGTCGGTATTTCAAACGGACAAGTCAATTTTAACATCATCTGTTTCTCGAAGTGACGATCCAATTTTCAGATTTCGAAACGTGGAGCTTGGTTCTTTCATGGATTACACAGGGAATAGGTTTGTAATAAGGTTTCTTGCGGTGCAGAGATCCGAGTTCAGATTCGACAAAGTTCCAACCTTTCGAAGGACCCTCAGCAGATTCAGACCGGCGACTTTCTTTAAGTCGAGCACGTTCCATTCTCCACTTCGCAGAAGTTCGGCGAACAATTCCGGATACTTCGAAACATCCTCCAGACCTCGGGGTGTTCTGTCAACAGAATCGATTACAGCGTTTTTTTTTTCTTTGCGACAAGTGCTATATCGTCTAAGTTTCGTAACAATCCTACTCGAAATACCCTTCTCTCTTTCTCCAAACGCTGCTTTTTCGTCAACGAGAGACTGACTGCGAAACTTTTAACCACAGCTCCAAAAAATTTGTTATATCGGCCGTATCGTTTGAAAATTCGGTTTGTTAAATTAAAGGTGGAAGCGCGTGAAGGATGAAATTAAGGGTGGAAGTGCGTCGAAAGACTGCAACGTTATAACGCGAGTAAGGAGGATGTTAAGAAAAGGCCAATTTTGGCATACGGCCTTGCATGATTCTACGCATCCCAAGGAACGAAAAATGTAATTGTCATTTTTCCCGGAAATGATGGGAAAGTTATGAAAAATGCGGTTCACGGTAAGAGTATGACCATAGTTACAACTTATGTTCGTAAATTAACCACTTAGAAACTCATATTGAGTATTATTTACAAAGATCGTTGTACATTAGTGTTTAATAAAAACCAAAAATAATTAATGACAAATTAATCGAAACGAGGAATTCTTTGATGGAACAATGCTTATATTCTAAGCAATCAGAAACCAGTAATTATTTATTCTAGAAGTGATAAAAGTTATAATAGCAAATATAACAAAATAACCGTCATGACAGGGATACAATAAAAAAGTAAGACTCCAACAGAATTTGCATTTCTTATCCTGACTTTTTTTACTCGCACGAGTAACAACTGTTTATTCGAGTCGTAACTCTGAGAGAGTTGAGCGATGCTCTCAGACACTCTCAGACGCAGTGTCGACTCGCGAGAGATACTCTCGAGAGCAACTCGCGATAGTTTTACTCTGAAAAGGACAGCTGTGTTTATGTTTGGTTCGATGTACGTACAGCGACCCAGGCTCGCGTTTCTTATGTTTAGCTCGCAAGAAATATCACGAGTTCTAAGAAGTCAAGGCCTAGAATTTTTCCCAGAACAGTTGCGAGCGTACAGCGATAGAAAACCGGACAGGACGTCTCGACCTCAGTCGGTGTTTACGAGGCCATCGAACGAGTGCCTCGACGAACGTTGCTTATACTGCGCGATTATAGTCTTGTAGGGAATACATCGAACAACGCGTTTTCGATTATATGCGGATTTCCGATCAATTTACGTACTTGGCATATTCGTCCGTGTGAATTAAGTGCCGCTGCATACAAGAAGCTAGTGCACCGAATTCAAGTACACAACGAACAGCTCAGCTTGGGAGAAAAATCAAACGAGAAGCGTGGTATGCGCATGCGTGAATAATATGTATGCATACATACGTACACAATCGAATGATTGAGCTAACTGAAAATAGAGGAGAGCCTACGTATAGCTAATTAGATCAATTACTGCAACAATTTCGTTTTATCGTATCCTAAGTTTATTTTTCTTGTAATAAGATGTGTTACAGCTATGAAACAACAACAAATTAGTTTTTTTACTGTTGCCTCCCCGAGACATGTACATATTCTATCCTTTTCTGGAAAAACACTGTCTCTTAGTCAACAACTAAGTCTTTACACACGACCTACTTCGTTTCTTATTATTCTAACGACAATATGCGACAATTGACACGCAGTGCAGATGATCAGACTTCAGTTTTCCGTAAAACCGGGGGATGCTTCCCAATTACGCCGACAGTCGGCGTCTCTAAACCTATGCGTAGTTCGACAGAACACTGTATACATATACATATATGTTTAGACTGATATGTAAGATGATACTTTTTCCTCTGGCTTTCATAGTGGATACACAGTTAAGAAATGCAAATTCTATTAGAGCCTCTGAGACTCCGTCCTCGACAGTAGAGGGTTAACCCTCAACCGTCCCTCAGTTTCGCATCTTGATAGGTCCCTCGGTGTTAATTTGACACAATGGTAAAAAATGAATTAAATGAAAAGGTAAATAATTATTTTTGTAAATTCTTTTATTAAATATAGGTCTACAAATAGCCGAATAATACAATTTTCTACCGGGAAAATGTGTGAAATTGACACGAGGGACGGACAAGGGTTGAAGAAAGCGCATACGTACTTGTTGATACCATCGAAGTCACCACCGACACCGATGTGGTCCACGCCAATTAGTTTTTTAATGTAGTAAATATGCTCAGCGACGTCCGAGACGGTCGCCTGAGAGCCACATTTCACGAAGTAATTATAAAATGTCACCATCACCAGTCCATCGTTAGCAGCCTGGAAATTAGAACGTGAATTCAATTGTACAATTCTCGAGAAATTTCCTCGAAATTCTAATCGAAATTCCCTGTAAGAAATCTGATCGAACGCCGTCCTAGAATATCGCTACAAAAAATTTTCAAATACAAAGGATACAAAAGTATTTCCTTCTATTATGAAAACTCAAAAGGACACTGATCGTAGCTGCCTTTCTGAACGCAGAAAAGTCACGGATTTTGGAAAGAAATGGAATTGGAGGAAAGAAGGACACCGGTGTTCGAAGACAATTTCATTATGGAAATATATCAAACGGAAGATTTCCGGTGAAAATAAACCAGGTGATTTTGGTCAGAGAAACGTTTTGTCGTTCAACCCATTTGCGTCGTTTGAAAGAAAAATGAAAAATAGGCCCCTTGACAATGGTATCATAGTAATAATTTTCATATTCTTCTAAATTCGCGGATAGAGGACGAAAGGGTGAAATGCAGCGGTTCGAAGGAAACGTTCGAAAATGGTGGAAATTTGAGAATCTTAAAAATTAGATGGTGCAAGTGGGAATTTTGATCTGAAGCCAGTTGAAACGGGATCTCGTATCGATGATCGACGAAAAATCAAATTACTTCTCGTCCCCGCGATGTCTCAGCGTTAACCGCACTTCCTGTTAACCGCAGCTCCTCACCGCAACTATACCGCGTCACGTTCTTCGACCGAGTCTGCTGTACTGTTCTCGTGTAACCGCATTTCATCTCAATCGTACACGTTTCCCCCCCTTTTCGATACCTGTTTCCGATATTTCCTTGCCATTTCGATCGAACAAAATTTCTCGCAAACGAATCCTTCGATTCTTTCCTATTGCTGTGCGCCACAGCGTCGACGGTTAGTGTTTTCGCGACGAATAAACGACGCGACTTCGAACTTATCGCGAGATAAACTGAAGACTTTACAAGTAGTAAGTGGACTGTATGGTTGAATTTTTGGATGGTAAAGTACACCCTGAATTTTATACTAACTATATTTAATACGTACAACTATAGGCTTGTTCTACCGAGTGTACTCTAGGAAAGTATCGTAGGAATGCAGTTGTCTCACGAGAGCTACTTTGTATTTTTCACGCGTCTCTTACGAATGCAATTTTGCGTCTCGCGTGGCCTTACGTCTATCGACCGCGACGTATCCTGGGAAAATTTTCGTTTGTCCGCGACGCAACGTCTATCGAACATCCGCAGTGTGATACGAGTTTAATCCTGAGATTTAAATCCTGATCCCGTTTTCTTTTTCCACCCAATTGAACCGTGTTTGAACAGAAGCGTTGCCAAGTGTATATTTGCAATTTGTAAATGTTAGAGTTTTATTTATAAATAACGGAGACGCTTTTACATAAACACAGAAAACCTTAATATTGTTAGAGTTATAATGCCGATACTGCTGCCTTTCTATGCACGTTCTTGCTTCCACTCGGAGAGAGACGGAAAGGAACGTGCTCGGTCCTGGACGCCGACCCCTGGAAATCGGCAGATCCCCATCGGCGCGCGCAGCTCCCATCGATCGCGATAAAGGCTTATTTCCAACAGTAAACATCGATGCTTCGTAAAGAAAGAAATAATAAGAATTCGGTATAATTAGGTGTTTTCATCTGAAAATGAATCGTTACAATGTAAAACCGTGAATTTCTCACAGGTGGCTGTAATAATTCCAACACCCGGTGTACATTGGACGAAGAAAATTGTCGATTTGCATGGACGTACGAACGGTGGACCGACGACAGGGGCCGGGGGTAGAATAGATCCGTTAATTTCGCGCCCTACTAATTTGTCCCTTTAACGAGGGAGGGACACCAGGAGGATCCCTATAATGGAGCAGAAAACTGGACAATAGAAAGGAATCGTCGGTGGTAAATGTTTCGAGCCATTGAAAGCCCAGCTACCGAGATAATTATCTATCTTCCGGAGAGGAAAAAAAAAAGGAAAAGTGCGGGAACCAGCACTTTTCCTTTCGATTTCACGGAACTTTCTCCTTCAACAAGTTCCTTCACCGTTCAACGTTAAACGAATCAGCAGCAGTCGAACACGACTCTTATTTTAACGATTACATTTCACAGAAATGTAACTCGGAGATAATTCTTCTTTAATTGTATAATATTTTTCCTTTTTTGCCTGAATTTTCGTATTTTTGAATATCGTAATCGTTCACTTACGTATATGGCTGTTGCAAAGTTTTTTTTACGAAGTTTAAGCACACTGGTGTTTTTCTTCTTCGTAGAATGCGAATGGAGAATTACCCGAAGTAAATTCGTAGTTCTATCGTTCTGGATATACCGATTGTAACATCGTGTGACTTATTCTTATATTACTACCAGTCAATTTCTTTCTAATAATTATCAATTCTTGCTTTTCAACATTTTCTTTTTAAATATACAACTCTGATCAACTGTCATTTTTCTCCTCGCGAACGAAGAAAAATTCGGTCACATTTTTGTATATTTAATTTTCGGGGCAAAATGGCTTGATGTAACGAGAGATTCAACATTCTTTCGTATTCCTGAATTTTACAGAACTTCTACTTTATCCCTCGTTATCTAGAAATCGCCTTTTTTCCGACTTTACACCACTTTCGCGTTAAACGCCTCGTACAGTTGGTAACTTCGAATCGAAAGGTGAACGAGTGGAAAGTAAAGTAGGAATTATATTTCGTACCAGCTGCTTCAAAATGTCGTCGGGAACGTTCCTCGAGGAATTACAAATGGCGAAGGCTGAGGAATGAGAAAAAATGAGGGGTGCTTTGCTGGCCCTTAAAGCGTCCCTCATGGTGGCTCTCGCTGTGTGACTAAGGTCTATCAGCATTCCCAGCCTATTCATTTCCTGGACTACCGCCTTCCCGAAAGCTGTCAGACCGCCTCCTGAAACAATACGAGAAACTTCACTCCTCTTTCCCAACCTTCCGATTTGCCGCTCTAACATTTTTAACCGTGCAACACAGCGCAAACGTGCGATTATCGCGGCGTTTAACGATATTCAAGCTATTCGATACTTGGAACAATTGTGCGTATAATATTCTAAATTAGTCAACTCTTAAAAGAGTAGTCAAAACAAATGTCGAAACACTTGTTCGATGCTTATCTCTGTACATTGAAAATAAATCTTCTTAGCCCCTTAACATATGATTTCTTTTCTGACTATGCATCTAACCGTCGGCCATTTTCTCTTTTAGTACTGTCAGATCAACGAAAGCTAATCTGTTACGGATTAATAACATTTAGCAATCCTCAGTCTTGCAAATTAAAACGAAGGTTAGGATTATAATTAATTTTTCTCACTAGTGTAACTATTTTTCTCGCATCTTGACCATAATTTCTGCCACGAGTCTAATACGTTATAGGTTAACAATTAGTCTTGATACCGCTATACGACGAGAATGTTTATTTCTGATTTCAGAAGCCAATGTGATTAACTGTATTAGTATCGATCGTTGTAATAATGTAATTCGAACGCTTATGAGAATTTAGCTGAGTAATTTTTCAATGCAACGGTATAAAAACTGTTAATATTGATATTTACGTTCGATGTACAGTAGGACCTCCTATAATCAGGGAAATATAATACAAATGAAGTTTCACAGGAGATCGCTGTTTGGGTCAAATTTAATTAACCGAAAATTCCAAAATTACAAATTCTGAGTTTGTATGTTCCTTTTTTTTTAACGAGTTACAGGGGATCCTGTATACAATTTCATTAATTCTCTCTAGGGTTTGGCAAAAACGAGAGGTTCGTGTTGCTCCTAATTACTCACCATCCTCATCTTCGTCTTCGACCGACGAACTTTTCGCCCACGGAGTGTTGCAAGTATGCGTGAGTGTGAGATAACGTACACCCAACTGATAGAGTGTCCTTAAAACGGCTAAACTACTGCCTAGGCTATGTCCACCCTCCACGCCGATCAGAGAAGCTATCTTGCCATTTCCGTGGGCCTCCAGGATCTCTGGAAATCGAGCGAATTCGAGCAACTCTTTTCTTTTTCTATCCGAACAATTTCGAAAGTTAACAATTTAGACCTGTTGAAATATCGCGGAATTGTATATAGGTATATACATTACGATTACGAAATGAATTTCATTCCTCCATTATTTATTTCCCCGAAATTTCTTTGCAAGTTTCCTGTAACGACGAAACCAATTTTTCAGTGAAAAACACAAAGTTGAATTTGGAGTGAAAATTCTGTGCAGTAAGTCGAACGTTGGGAAACAGACTCTGCGGAATACAATAACTTTTCAATGAAAAATACAAAGTTGATTTTGATTTGCAAAAAGTTGAATTTTCAGTGCAAAACCTGTGCAATAGGTCGAAGGTTGGGAAACAGACTCTGCGTAATACAATAACCTTTCAATGAAAATAACATAGAATCGAGATTTGTCCTTGTTTCAGATAATCGTGAAAGATGCACCTACCCCTTGAAGAAGCAGCGAACTGCATGTTTTGCGAGTACTTCTCTATGAGCCTCTTAATGAGGTCCACCTGCTCCAGAGTCAGCTGGACCGCGTTGAGATGCTGCGACTCGCACGGCACGTAAGCAGCCCAAAACTGTGAAGAAAGTGCGAGTTGGATTATTCTCTGGTTAATTAGGAACGGGGGGAAAGAAGAAAGGCGATGTTGAGAATGATCGCTCGAGTAGAATGTGAGAAATGTGAAGGGGGATTAGCGTGGAAATATTTCTGTGCCAAAGCTGAAGTGTATTAGGTGTAGAAATGAATTATTTTCCCGACTATTTGGGCACGATAAAAGTTTTACTTGAAAAGAAAAGAAAAAAGTAAAAATAGTTGACTCGTCGAAATAATTTGCATTGTTGTGTGACGATCTTTTGCCATTTTTGCTCAGGCTCGGATGAAAGAACTTCCAATTTCTGGAAACTTGGCGGCTTTTCAATTAGTTATGCGAATTCATTGCGCGATATTATTTTCTTGCAATATCGTATTCCAGCGTTTAGGATACTTTTCAAGTTACATTTCAGAATAACTTTTGGAAAATATTCTTCTTCCGGTGTTCGCGATTTTACGAGATTTGAAAGTTTCACATTTATTTCAGACTTTCATCGGATGTGACGTCTCAGTGTTCCCAATATTTTGTCCAATTTTTCATAATTAATTCTCCGTCTCCGTATTTTATTCCACTGCTCCACAGTGCGAATTTTTATGCAAATTCATATCTTTACGAATATAATTAAAAAAAGAAGAAACAGAAACTAAATAGGCAATTGTTTCATCCCCTAAATATTACAACGAGTACTACATTTTACCTTTATTTCTACATTTTTCCTTCTGTGCCCTGAAATTTTCTACTTAGGAAGAATTTGAAAAAGGAAAAAAGCAAATGTTTCAAAGTTTACCAGTTTTGTGTGAGAAATTTACGCGTGATATATGTTTATCGGGTAATTTAATCGTTACACATAAACTATCATATCATTGAACCGTGAAAGTTCAACGAACATAGAGTCTGCGAACCCGTTCAACTAAATCGGCCGGTGATCGATGGCCAACCACGCTCGAATTTTGGTTCATTATTGCAGTTTAATAAGATCGCTGTCCATTAATGCACTCGAATTTATCACGCATTATTTCATCCCGCGAAACCGTGACAAATTTTATGAGCGCGGTTCTACGCCCGTGATTTATCGTGCCGCAAATATGGTATCACGTAGCGTCTATAAATAATTGGTCCGCGTGAAAATTCCGTGTAACTTATAGTTCCGTTGGCAATCAGTCGGCAATAATAATTCGGGTATAATTGACGCGGCACAAAATATTACAATATACGACAAAAGTATTCATACACCCTATAAAACGGAATAACTTTTTCAAAATTGGGCCAAACGACTTGAGTTCTTTTTCAGAAGTTAGAAAGATTAGTTTACTAGATGACGTGTGAAAAATTTGTTTGAAGAAACTGCAATTAGTCGGGATCGCGAAGAAAATAGCGAAGGTCGTTTTTACAACTTTCTTATCTGAGCTCGTAATGAAAATTTAAAAAATACGTTTTGTGGGTCTATGTCAATTATACACACGCTGAAAATTTCATCGAAATCGGTTAATGTTGCTATGAGCTACAAACGGTTAAAGATTGTGAAAATCGCACTATTTCACGACTTTCGGCCTATAATCGTAATAAACCTGAAGATTCCTACATATTTCGACGCTTGTTTCTCCATCCACCGATGAAATTTTCAGCGTGTGTATATGTGACATAGATCTACAAAACGTATTTTTTAAATTTCCATTACGTGCTCAGATAAAAAAGTTGTAAAAAGTGACCTTTACAATTTTCTTCGCGATTCCGACTAATTGTTGTTTTTTCAAAAATTTTTTTACACGTCATCTAGTAAACTAATCTTTCTAACTTCTCAAACAAAACTTAAGTCGTTCGGTCCAATTTAAAAAAAGTTATTCCATTTTATAGGGTGTACGAATACTTTTGCCCTCCACTGTATATTTCGCGTCGTTCTCTCCCGATAAACTAATGTCCTGTCGCTTGTTTCTCCATCCACCGATGAAATTTTCAGCGTGTGTATATGTGACATAGATCTACAAAACGTATTTTTTAAATTTCCATTACGTGCTCAGATAAAAAAGTTGTAAAAAGTGACCTTTACAATTTTCTTCGCGATTCCGACTAATTGTTGTTTTTTCAAAAATTTTTTTACACGTCATCTAGTAAACTAATCTTTCTAACTTCTCAAACAAAACTTAAGTCGTTCGGTCCAATTTAAAAAAAGTTATTCCATTTTATAGGGTGTACGAATACTTTTGCCCTCCACTGTATATTTCGCGTCGTTCTCTCCCGATAAACTAATGTCCGGAGAGTTCCACTAAAGTCGAGTGTGTTACGATTGTGCGCTTCGAAAGCTAAACGAGTTCTGTCTTTGGAGTGTCTGTGCTCGCTCTTTTATTAACTAGGCGTGTGTTGCGATTGGTGGTGCGAATGTGGAGGAGGCGGTGGAAAGTGTGTGGTGATTGGTTTTATTCGGGATGCTTGAGGGGTGGTCTGTCTGATGGTATGGAAGTGGGGAAATTGTTGTTGCATAGATTTGTTACGTTGCTGTGTAGATAGGATTGCTGGTGTCGAGGGTCTGTCTTATGGTGTTCACGCATGCGGTGTCCAGGTGTAGAGTCTTCGAAATTTTTACTGTAACAAAGCAATTGACGGGCCATGCCGGCTAAGACTTCTCTTTACAAATACCGTTTCTATGGAAAAGGCCGATGTATTGTTTGGTCGTCGGTACGCTCGAACAATAATTTTCAGGAGCACCGCGGAGCGTGTGATTCTTCTGTTCTTCGAGTTCCATTCGAAGGTTGTACCAATTTTTTCTCGAACAGTATTGCAAAACGAAGTAACTCATTTTTTCGGTGGATCGAATTACGTGACATTTTTGAAAAATCCGAAAAGAGGAAGAACGAGACGGCGATTAGTTTTGTTTTGGTGGAAGGGATAATCGTTTTCTCACACGTTCCTTTGAACGTTGATTATTTTTTCATTTAATATTACTTTATTTTTCTTTATTTTCTTCTTTCCTCCTTTTTCTTTATTTTTCCCTTTCCTCCTTTTTCTTCGTTTTCCTCACTTTACACAGTAAATAGTAAACGGTGCACGTCGTCGAACGATCGCAGCTAATTCCCAACGTGTTCGTTTTCCCAACTTGTTAAAAAACGAATCGAAAGAAAATTATAGAAAATCTCGAACGCGTTTACAGAGTTCGAACAGAACGAGATGAAATTTCTATTCACATTCGCCCGTTCCCCGTTTCATTCTTTTCATTATACCTCGTGAGAAAACCAAACTGAACGTTGCATTTTCAACACGGTAACTACTCTATTTCCTCCGTAGAACTTATATTTAACAACAATGGAAATTGTATATACGGGGAAGTTGCCGGCACGAAGAAGGGAAAATACAGCCAGGGCTGAATGGGGGAATATTGAAAAGAAAAACTATTATGACGCGGTGGTAACATAATGCCGCGAGAAAACGTACCAGAATACAGAAAATCTCTTCGCTCTGTGTTTGGTTTTACGCGGTCTCAGGCCACGTCACGCCTGGGAACGCAGATTGGTTTCCTTTACTTTGTCTCTTTGTCGGGGAAGTTCTTCTCTTTAGTTTGAAAAGGAAAACAAGTCGCGAGATAGAAACGAATAAATGATCCGAGTTTGTTAACCCTACTGCCGCCGCTGTGCGTGTTCTTCCTTGTCTCTGTTTCTCACGTGAAATGTGATTAATCTTATCTGTCCGTTTTGCTAATCACTCTGCGCTTCTTAAACTAGAGAAACGGCAACCGGTTGGTGAATACACACACGAGCTTTGCGAATAAAAGACCAGATATCTCCGTTCACCGTATTTCAACGATTTTTTTCCCCACCCACCCACCGTGAACACGCGTCGCGATTTCGCTGACGATTCGCGTCATCGTTCTCTCGACGAGAGAACGTTGGCTTGCGCGATAATGGCGTATCCGGCGCGAACGCGGCAAAAGGAAGGACAGGAAAAACGAGAAACACGCGGGGTCCGCGAAGAAAGCCAGCCGGGCTACGTAGCGGCAAAAAGAAGCAGCCAGAAAACCTGGGGAACCGGTAACGAGCTTGCGGTCGAAAGCAGATAGATGATGGGAGGGGAGGGGGAGAGCTTGCGGGAGAGAAAGAGAGGAGAGCGCGAGAAAGGGAGGAGAACGTGAGGGAGAGAGAGGAAGAAGGAGAGCGCAAGAGAGGGAGAGCGCAAGAGAGGGAGTGCTTGCAAGGGAGGGAGAGCTTGCGGGGGGGCTTGCAAGAGAGGGAGCGCGAGAAAGAGAGGGAGCGCGAGAATGGGAGCACGCGAGAGAAGGAAAGCGCGAGAAAGCAAGAAGGAGAGCGCAAGAGAGGGAGAGCTTGCAAGAGAGAGAGTGCTATGAAGAGATGGTGAGCGCAAGAAAGGGAAAGCTCGAAAGAAAAAGGGAGAAGGAGAGCTCGAGGGATGGAGAGAAGGAGAACGCGAGAAGGGGAGGTTGCAAAAGAGAGAGTGCGAGAGAAAGAGAGGAGAGCGCAAGAGAGGGAGAGCTTGCCAGAGAGAGAAAGAGCTTGCAAGAGAGAGGGAGAGCCCGCAAGAGAGAGATCCCGTGTTTGTGAAACGCAATATCGCTGTACGAACACACCGTTCTGTTTCCCGTGTTTCGTTATCTGTGCCGCCACGTTACACGGTTAGCCTCGTAAAGAAAGGAGCGTTTTCTGTGTCATCTCGTGGCCGCGTTGTCTTTCTTAATATCGCCGCTTACAGCGATACTCGAGTCTCGCGTTGGCTGAATCGAGGGATTTGGAAACGGCTCTCCTCCACGAATATATTGCTTCGCCGCTGACGACGTATACCTTCAATCTCTCTTTTCGCCTGCATATATCGTTTCACGCGAACTGCCGAACTGGTTTCGTCTGCTCCTCTCGAGAGAAGTCTGTCTCTCGTATGTAACGAAAGTAAAACAAAAAAAAAAAATGTTCAAGATACAGACAATTCTTCGGTGTCTGTGATGATCGTTTACACTGCGAATATTCTCTCTCTCTCTCCAGTTACAACTGCACAGGACGCGAATATACGTGCCCGCAAGCTGGCTACAGGCGCCGGAAGTCATGATCGAACGCATCGTGGCACGTTCATCGCATTGCTCGAGGCACTCGTAGATAGTACGGATGCATTAAATCTGCCGGGCTCCCGCGTAGCATCTTTGATATATATATCCTCTTGACAGATCGCCTCGATACCCAAGGATTATGCTCGTATTACCGGCAGTCAGCCGCGTGTCGTAAATAATCTGATCGGAATTTTTGTTTGGCGTCGATGATCCCTGCTTAGAGGATCCGCCAAGCCGAGGGTGGAAGAGGCTGGATAAGAGGGCAGATATTGGCGATAATAAGCTGCAGCGTGCCAACAGAGAGCTGCTTTATAGGGTCGATTAAAGTTCCTCTGTTCTTCTTCAGCTACGCTGACTTACTTTTCACATTCGCCTCCACGAATCTCCTTTTTATTTCGCAGTTGTAGCAGGTCAACCACCAGGTTCGTGCCGCGAAACGAAGAATATTTGAAAGAAAATCCAAGGAAATACTGTAGCCACGATATAACAGTCTTACTAAAACAAAGAAAAATAGAAAAAATTTGTGCAACGAGAAGGCGCTTACGTTTTTTTCTTTTTTTAAATCAAATTTAATAAATTTTCTCGACAATATTCGTCTAAATTGTAAAATTTGACACGAACTTGTGGGATGACCTGATAGTATCAAAAATCTTTCTGTTTTCCTCTTCCATTTCTCGCGGTACACAGAAAACGATCAATTTGTACGAAGGAAAATCTTACATTTATCCTGCAAACGGGAACTCTTTTTGCCTGGATCACACGAGCTCAGGCGCCTAAGTAAGTTCGAAAAGCTGTTCGCCACCGGGGCAACTTGCTCGCAAAGAAGCAGCATAATTAATTACACCGGTTCGTTCTAGTTGGTTAAATAAAGAAAAAAAAGAAAGCTAAATGAATTTCATAGGGTGGCGTTAGCCAGGTGTTCCTTTTGTTACTCTGCCTTCCTCTTTGCTTACGTTCCGCGTAACTTCTCGTCTTCACGGAGAAATACGCACGGACGTGCCATGAAAATATTTCTCCTTTAATTTTCCTTAACCCGTTGGTTACGCGGGTGTAAGCACGCTGTGGGAGGAAACATTCTATGTGTACACAGACGTACATACACCTGTCTATGTACACATCTCTGTGTGTGTGTGTGTGTACCATGGTCGGACGTGACGAGTTTCCAAGGCTTTGTGACGATAATCGATGCATTCAAGCTGTCCCAGACGAGTAACCCGAAGTAACCCCTGCGTTCAACTATGTGGAAAACTTGAGGAAAGCTTGATTCACTTTCCAGACATAATTCTGCTATTTTTACATAGTTTTTTCGGTTTTTTTTTTTATATCTCCTGTGTTAGTTACATGTTGTCTTCGTCGATATGGGAAACTGGTTGTACAGTTTGTATCTGTACACTCTAAGTCCACCTAACGTGCGTTATCAAATGTCTTAATGAAATTCGAAGAATTACCTACTCGAGCGACCACAGAGGCAAATTAGTAACTGTACTTTAGTTAGACTTTGAAAATGTGCTGTAATGCTAAGTGTTAGATGTAAATTCAATATTATATCTTTGTCTTGTGCAGTAAAGTGAAATAGGAGCAGTTCTATTTTTTATTAAGTGTGTAGTTCTTAGGCAGGCCTCAGTTATATCGACATTTAATTTGCCATAAGTCATATAATAATGTTACTGTGTATGTTACTTTTAAATTGTGACTTGAGGTTGGAACAGACTATAAATAAAACGGTGAATTTGATTTGCAAAAGGGAGAATTTGATTTGCAAAAGGTTGAGTTTAATTTGCAAAAGGTTGAATTTAATTTGCAAAAGGGAGAATTTAATTTGTAAAAGGGTGAATTTTATATTTGCAAAAGGTTGAATTTTATTTGCAAAAGGGAGAATTTTATATTTGCAAAAGGGTGAATTTTATATTTGCAAAAGGGAGAATTTTATATTTGCAAAAGGCTAAATTTTATTTACAAAAGGTTGAATTTTATTTGCAAAAGGGAGAATTTAATTTGCAAAAGGATGAATTTTATATTTGCAAAAGGGGGAATTTAATTTGTAAAAGGTTGAATTTTATTTGCAAAAGGGAGAATTTTACATTTGCAAAAGGGAGAATTTTATATTTGCAAAAGGCTAAATTTTATTTACAAAAGATTGAATGTAATTTGCAAAAGGGAGAATTTAATTTGCAAAAGCTGTTTGGATACCGACACAGCGCCGCCAACAATTACCGTCAGCTGATAATCGGAAGATACGCGAATAGTGATAATTACCTGACCGCCAACCATGCCTTCGCGAAGCCTGACCAAGTCCGTTTGGCTCCAGGCGCTTTTGCTCCAAGGCGCGACCTGTCGTAGATCCGTGTTGAAGTCGAACTTGGCCAGCTGGTTGTGGACGAAGTTTCTAATGTTCCAGGGCAGGTCATTGTGGCCGTCGATCAAAGGCACCTCGGAAAGAACCTGTCGTACGGTCTCCAACCTTTCCCTCGGCAATATCAGGTGTGCAACCTCGTCATCGGCTGGTCGTGGGCCAACTTTGCCAACCCAGCTTCCGATTGACAGTATGATCACGCTTGCTGTCCAGACACCGCTCTGACCGCCACACTGGAACATCGTTCGATTATCGGCGGTTAGGATGGGAATTGCCAAAGAACATTTCAACAACTGTAATAAGAGAGTAGCTCGTTCTGAAACGGGACACGGATGTGTAGAAGCGTGATTAGGTTATTGGGTTGCTGTTTTTTTTTTTTATCGGCTTATTGGAGATGCTGAATTTTGACGACGGTCTGATTTGAATTTTAACGATAGTTAGCGATTTTAAGAGTGGCAGAGTTACAGGAATATTGAGGTTTTGCAAATGTGGAGATTCGAGGATGCAGGAAATGTGGAATTTTGGGAATAAGGGAGCTTCAGACACGTGGTTGGTTATTGGGCTATTTTTTCATAGTGGAGATTCTGAAATTTAACAATAGTTAGGTACTTTAGAAGTACAGAGCTATAGGAATATTGAGATTTTGCAAATATGGAGATTCGAGGACACAGGAAACGTAGAATTTTGGAAACACGGAAGCACTAGGCGCGTGAAATTCTATGAATATGGAGGTCTGTGGACTGTGAAGTTCGAGAAACACGGAAATGTAGGAGCTTTTGATGTGCGGAATACTAGGAACACGGAGATCTACCAACTATGATTTGCCAGAGGTACGTAGGAACTGTAGAAATTTCAGAAATATGTCATTCTACCGTTACAGAGAAGCTTTACCAAAATATATTGAAAATATCGAAATGTTGCAAATATCACATAGAAAATCTACAGCATGTGTGTTGTGTCTTCACTGTTATCACTCGATGTGTGCAAAATGCTCTCCTCTGTGAAGAAAAAAGAATTACGCTTTTATATACGCAGAAAGGTAGAGGAAAAAAAGACCATAAACGTTTTCTGAAAACGTCGAATGTGGTGCTTTCGCTTACTAATCTAAATTTCATTGGTTATGAGAAACCCTCTTCCGACGCCGTTTCCAGCAGAGAGGTGAAAATACCTTTTGGGTTCTTTCCAGGTCAGCTTGGGTCATATGATTCTAACGATTTACCGGCGAATCACGGTTTTATAGCTGCCATTAGGGACGCTTCTGTAGGTAACCGCGCGAACAATAAATTCAAGTTCACACTAACTTTTTCTCTTCGTCTAATCACCGAGGAGCAACGGCGAATAAACTTTCCTCGTTTCGATACGTTATAAACTGTGTCAATAACCAGGTACCCCTTTGCATAATTCTCACTTAAAATATTTGATCTTCCAGGTGAAAGATTGAAATATTCAGCCGGATCGTTGTTATTTAGCGCACTTTCTATCCGTGTTTGCCTCAAGTTTAGAATTTTGTTATCAGAAAACTACTGAAATTGGACGATAATGTAGTATCGGGGCCTCCATACTCAAATAGGGAACCTCGAAGGGGGAATAGAGAGGGAGTGGTTGGCGTAGCGCGCAAAGCCTCGGCTTGCTAAGCCGAAGGTCCCGGGTTCGATTCCCGTGTTGGGTCCCTCAATATTTTTTCGTCGTCGGTTCCTACAAATGGTGGCTCAACCGAGATGGAGGCATCTACGGCTGCACGAAGCCAGGCGTTGTGAGATGAAAACATGTGAGAGGGTTGCACGTCTCCCAAAAAGAGTTGAGAAACAGAGTTTCAACTGAGAGAGAGTGTCACTGTGTGGGGGAGTGTTACCCGAAAGTGTTTGAGTTTGTCGAGGTGTTGAACTCTTAGGACATTCGAGGGCGAATGTCAGTTCAGGATGGCCGAGTGTAGTATCGGGGCCTCCATACCCCAAAAAATTATGAAACCGGCACGCGGGAATAGAGAGGGAGTGGTTGGCGTAGCGCGCAAAGCCTCGGCTTGCTAAGCCTGAGGTCCCGGGTTCGATTCCCGTTGGGTCCTTCAATATTTTTCCCTAGGTTCCTACCATAAAGTAGACAATTCTGGTTGTTGACATAAAGGTTAACAACGTTTGCGTTGGAAAGGAATTTAAACGAACGAAACAACATTGGAGAGAAGACGGAGAAGTGGTGAAAATCGTATGGTAACGCGTGTGTAGCACACTCGACAACCATCACACCACTAGTACCATCGGCAAACCTGATTTAATCAATTTCACTTCTCCCCAATTACCTCGAAATTCCCTTCCATTCCATCGCTCAAAAGCTTCCAAAATCTTTTATGAAGTCCGTCAAGTCGAGGTTACGGCGCAATCAGCCGGTTAACCCTGTACAAACTCACAACTATGCGCTCTTCTATATCGAATACTCTGCTATACGTCGTTCAAAATAAGAGTAACCTCGCTCTCGGACCGATTCTCGTCCGTTTTGCGCATAGACAGAGAGCGTAGCAGAGGGTAAGACGGAGAAAAACATAGGTGGTTAAGTGGGGGATTGGACGTCCTAGTGGTTCTAGCCCTGCCTTAGGGCTAGGGCGAGGTTACTCTCATTTTGAACAGAGTATAACTGGTACAATACAGGGTGTCTCAGGTTTTCAAACGTCCAAACGTTGTCGGTTATATTCTACGGGCGAAAGCTGCCACGAGAGACACGTCCCATGCGCGAAACGAGGTTACTCTCATTTTGAACAGAGTATAACTGGTACAATACAGGGTGACTCAGGTTTTCAAACGTCCAAACGTTGTCGGTTATATTCTACGGGCGAAAGCTGCCACGAGAGAGAAATAAGTCCTTTCAATTATCCCGAAGTATCAGCTTGCGGAAATGTTAATCCATCCGGATGTCATTCGCAGTCTCTGCCGGCAAGCGAAGATAGAAGAGCGGAGAAACGCGATGTCCAAAGAGCTAAAAGCAAAGATGAGCAGCGTTCGCTGAAGGGGCCAGGAGAAAGCTTTGATGCTTTCGTCCAGAAATAATTCACTGTTTCGCCCTGTGAGTTGCAAATGTTCGCCAGGACGAGGGGCACCAGTCGTCGCGAGGCTTCAACCTGTGAATAGTTTATGATCAAAGGAAGGAAGTCTTTCTCGCGCAGAAACGATCGAGTTGTACGACTTTTCGAATCTCGTTAAAAGAAAGATCGCTTTATTTCCCTCTCCACGATCATTCCCTTCGTTCAAACACATTTCTCGATGTTTTTAATTATCGATCAAAGAACGGGGGAACGGAAAATCTGCTTTTATCGGAGAACTCCTCGATGTTTCGCGGGTTATTCCGCGAATTTCAACATCGCTGGTCGTTCCTAAAAGGAATTCGATCCAAGTGTAATTTTGACTTGTTCCTTTTTCTTTCCTGGAGAAATTGGGAAACGCGCAGGACAAGGCTAATCTTCGTATCCTTATTCGTCGAACGAGATCATGTCGCCAGTGGCAATTCGTCAGAGGAATGACGGATTGCTACGTTCGCGGAGGAGAATGATCGATCGATGAGGAGTTGCTTGATTAAAAAAGAAGATCAGCTGTCCGTATATACGTTCACGTGGAAGACGAACCTTCGGTCTTAATGCAACCCGTGTTGGGTAAATCTGACAGATCGGGTCGACGAAGGGGAAATAGTAATTCAAGAGGAGGGTCCTACACACACGTGAACGTCCATTAACCGCGTTCTATCAGAGAAGCTTTCAGCCTTTCTCCCTGATACAGCGAACCTCCGCTGTTTCGCTGAATTGTCGGACGAAGGGAACCTGGAAGGAAATGCGTCGCGACGAGAAGAATCTCGGAAAAACGACGCGTTCTTGTTGGAATTTGAGAAAGAAAAAATTACTTCGTAGACTGGAAACTTCTGAGGTATCGCTGTCACGAGAGAGATTAATCAAACGAAAGGACAAATATTTTTTTATCAAATAACAATGTGATTAGTACGCGAGAATCTTTCACGAGAAATGATTGATTGAATTTTAAATGAAGAAATTGCGAAGTGCGTTCAAACTTTTAGGAAAAATTATCGATCATTTCTCCATTCGTCGATCGTTCCACTTGTACAGAATTATTACAGCGAAAGAGAACGTTAAATCCATCGATCTCAGTCGATTAAATTCACAAGTCTCTTTGTGTACAGGACAGATTAACATAGTATTATGCGTGAAAGAACGAGAGAACTTACTGGAGTGGTGAACGGTGTCGTTTGTATCCAGTGTCTGACCAATCGTCGAGCTGCACTACTTACCCCCGCGGTCACAGGCTCTCTACTTCAAGTCGAACGGTATTTCGACTTAAGTTTCGAATCACGCAGCGCGTAAAAATGAAAAAGTTGGTAAAACTCGCGAAATACGAGACAAAAAAAAAGTTGGAAAATTGTCGACTATTTAACATCGTTGCGTCCGACCCAACACATACCTTTCCACTGGCCACCGAGCTGAAAACCTGAGAGAGCGAGCGGTCCTTCGAATTTCCTGGGCTCTTATGGGAATATCCGCAAGATAAAAATTTTATTTCGTCCTGTCTTCGTTGCTTAAGGCGACACGGGAACATTTTTCCTCCCATTCCCGACCATGGGGCTCCCGCTAACATAAATCTTTACTCTACTCTGAAATACCGTGAACGAAACTGTCGACGATTAATCCTTCTTCGAGTCGACCTGAATTTTTCATTGTAATAGAAACCTCGTAATGAAAATGGTCTTCTAACTTGGGCAGATTGTGAAACGTGTTATTTTTCGACGTAGATTTTCTGTTTTTTTTTTTGATCAAACGTTTGAAACATTCTGATAAATGACGATAAGTCGGTCGAACATCTTGGAGATGCTTTGAGAGATTACGGTGCCTCGATAAACAAACATTCTAAGTCCAATCTGCCGTTGTAAGCAGCTTACTAAGCTGCGATTCTTGGCAGACGTATGCTTCTTCTGTTCAATTTAACGGGGCAACACTTTCGATTTTCTATCAGCGATAAAACGTGTGCCGATTAATTACACACAGTCAAAATAGCACAGAATACTTGGAACAATGTAAGAGGCTTGAAAGTTCAGAAAAATCCACAGAACGAAATCACGAAGGATCGAGAAGTCTCGAGGAACAGAAAAGAAAATTCTGAAATGAAAAATTTCCAAAAGTCTCCGAAGAAAATCTAACTCCAGTAAGAAATGATACAAAATTGATTCGCTGTTTTCTTCCAGTAGA